GGGGGAGTGGAGGATGAATTCAGGTAGATGGTCCTTGTGCAACCATGAAAGCCAATCAAGAAATACACCTGATAAATGTACAAAGGTCTCTCTCTCATAAGGGGTGTGAAGGTGTAAATAAATCTATGTCACTCTTGCAAAGGAGGTACCCCAGGCTTTAACAGTTACAAAGATACTTCACTATTTAAAAGTTATAAATTTCTCTCACTCAAGGGTTTGCTTTAATTCACATAAGATTGTTACTGCACTTTCCCATAAGGGATTGTTAGGGTATCTTGAAAAGTAATTTTTTTTGATAATGACTGTGATAAATTTTCCTCTTTTTTAGGTCCATATATTTGGGGCATCTCTTGGAGGTTTCCTTGCACAGAAGTTTGCAGAAATGACGTACAAAAGCCCAAGAGTACATTCATTGATTCTGTGTAATGCTTTTGCAGATACATCAGTTTTTCAACAAACTTCATCTGCATCTACGTAAGTAGGTTAACTGAAAGTACAATAATGGAATTGGCAAATGAATTCTGAGACAGACTGTCATCTTAGTTATAACTATAACAATTTCTTACTGGTTTAAAATAGTTGTTGCTTTTTAATCTGACTTGAGCCCCATAAAGTTTACAACAGCTATATTTCATCAGCAAACATACATGTGCACCCTTTGACAAAATTCAATGTACCACTATTTGTTGCAGCGTGTTAACTCCAATGTAGAGGTACATGTACACTGTATCTATTGTTGCCTGCGTTATCTGCATTATCTTATCTTGGTCTTTGTAATATCCTCAGACATTGGAAAGAATTCACTTCATTTTTGTAATTGTTCTGGTAAAGACATCACTGATCTCAGCATAAATTAGCAACTCACCATAATTTTTGCATTTATTTCTTCTTTCTTAACAGCTTTTGGGTAATGCCTGCTTTTGTATTAAAGAAAATGATAATGAACAATTTCACAACACAAGAAGTTGATGAGGACATTGCAGACTCAATAGACTTCATGGTAGAGAGGGTAAGTGCTACATACATCAATTAACATGACTGTAGTATGCTGTACATGTACAGGTACTAGCAAAGAAATTTCAAAATCTAGTGCTTGTTGACAATGTAGAGTGAAAGTATAAAGAAAACAAGGCTCAGATAGGTGAATATTTTTGATGAAACCAGATTCAGTTTGGTTTCATAGTGAAGTTACAGCATATATTGATATGTGTATGTTTTTAAAGTTTATTTTCTATTCTCTAAGAGAGACAAGCATCTTATTTTTCCTGACACTATTACTCCTGAATGGAATATTTAGGTTATGAGAATAAACTAAGGAAATTATAGCAAACTCAAAAAGCTCTTCATTGTGAGACAAAAAATTTTTTAATCTCCTTGTAAGTACCAGTGGGATTCAAACATTTGTCTCCATGATGCTAGCTGGGTGTTTAACTTTCTTGATTGTTGGTGGTTTTGCAACCCAGCAATGTTCCATTTTGTTTATGGCAAATGATAGCATTATAGTACTTAATACAGCTCTACGAGGCTGCTAAAATACATTGAAAACAGATGAAATATCTTAAGGTGGATGGGATTTCTGAATTGCAATCCTGCAGTTTTTCAGTCTGTTGCAAGAAGTTAAACATTCTTAAGGTACTGAGGAAGTTATCTAGCTCTTTATGATGAAGTTATCTAGCTCTTTAGTTTACATTGTGGCTGAAAAGCCCCTTAGGGGGAGCCTCAATTTATATATTTTATTTTTTATTTATTTATTTATTTATTTATGCTGCACGTATTTATTGTAATACTTTCCATGGCAGCAGAGTTATATTCCCATGAGACAAAATGTACACTGTGAGGTTAAAATGGTTTTTAAATTAAATAAATAATAGATTCAGGAGAAATGTCTGGTCCACATGCATATACACAAAGTGCTCTTTAAGATATTTACTCACTCAGTATACCTTTAATACCATCATGTTCTCAATTTATAGCTGGAAAGTTTGGGAAGGAGTGAATTGGCATCAAGATTGACACTTAACTGTTTAGACTCGTATGTTGAGCCACAGAAACTGGCTGGAATTCCTACAACTATTATTGATGTAAGTACTTACCATCAGATCTTCTTCATGTGAAGGTGTAGTCTGATCGTCCGGGTGAGTGTAGTCCTGAGAAGGACTGTTGTCGGTGGTGGTGACTGATGTTTCAGTAAAGTTAGGTCAACCTAACTTTACCGATGGATCAAAACAGACCAATCATGACAGACTTACGCCACTTGAGTCTTACAGCCAATAACATCACGGCAAAACTGTTGTCGAAACGTCAGTCACCACTACCGACAACAGTCCTTCTCAGGACTACACTCACCTGGATGATCACACTACACCTTTACATGTTGTCCCTGGGTTCAAACTATTTACCGCACATCATGAATGTATGGGAAATTGCTATAAAAATGTGAATTTTAAAAATTTGCAGTTTGATGTGTTTGAAAGATCTTGTTGTTCTTTTGCAGATGTTCTCAGAAGACTAGCTGCCCTAGTGCTGATGCACATCCACTGCGATATGTGACAGAGCCATCCAACTGTCCACTATTTGCCTCTATCAGTCCTGAAAAAGTTCCCCATGGTCCAAGTATTGAAGTGTGTGAAGCAACTGAAAGATACAGTAAACATTCATGGGCCAATTTGTTTGAATTTTTTTTCATGTCAAACTTAGCAGCATTAATTTAATGATAGTTTC